CCCGCAGGGCGCTGGGCGCGTGCAGAGTCTCGGGCGCCGGACGGGATTTGGGATGCTGGTGATGGCGTCGGAGATCCTGAGCATGGCGAGGGGCACCGGGCACTCCTTGGTTCCTTCGGCTCAGCTAGGCGCTTCCAGCCGTAGAGGAAGCATCCAAGAGGAACCTTTAAACAAAGAGCAGCACCAGACAAGAGAACAGCTCCGACCTGGGTCCCCACGGAGCCCACACAGCATTGAGCCATACTTCGGCATACTTCGGCATACTTCCCCCCAGAGCCTGCTCTGCGGCTCCGAGGGCCAGGGCACAGCGCGGCAGCAGCCCCAGGAGCCCCAGGAGCCCCAGCAGCCGGACGACGCAGGCCCGGTCTGCGCCACCCATGGTGGCACAACCCTCTTCTCCCCCACTTCAAGGCACAAGTTCACATGTACTAGCGGCTTACTAGCGTTATTCTCAAGTTACTAAACATGGCTTCCATTGCCATATGGTAGTCAGAAAATGATTCACATGCTTTGCGCTTCTTGGCATGGCAACTGCAAGCAAAAGCAAGTTGCACAATCTTGCGCGGTGCCCCCTCCTCTCACGGCGTCTGCCAGCCTACACGCGTGTTTTTTTCGGACACGTGCTCAAATTGCGCCATGATCCCAGCCACCGCAACATTGCCTCAAGGTGGCACTGATTGTCATGGCTATGGCCCAGCTAGGGCCTCATCGCAGCCAATGGAAATCACAACGGCCACGCGTCGCAGTTTTGTGCACGGTACAGGAGGAAATCCAGGAATGTGTTTGCCAGGCCTATGGACATTGCAAACTTCGAACACAAGAAAGTTTGCAAACAGTTCTGTGCAACTGATTCCGCAGACGTCTCCAGTACCAGTTGAAGCACCTCCTGCACATTCTCATTCTGCTTTCTTCTCGAACCCATGTGTGCATGTCTTCACATGTCACATTCCCGCCTAGTAAGCGAAAAGGCTGCAGAAAATGGATGTCAACGAGGAACGTAGCAAAGATGTTCTGAGACATGCTGGAATGCTTGACTGTGCCGTCATGTCATATGGCTGATTATGGCTGCATGATGTCTGATGCGTGTTCCGCCGCATGTAACGCCTTGCGCAGACGGAGGCATGTTCGATTCACAGTACTGTTATACTCTGACATGGGAAGCTTGAGCCTGAGCGTCGCCAAAAGATGCCACAAGGCTGCGACTTCGCAGTTTCGCAGACTAGGGAACAGAATGGAACAGACACGTTTGGCTCCCAGAGCGTTGGGTGCCCGTTTGACGGTTCTAAAGAAATGGATCTGTGCGCCCCACCCCGCCCCCCGCCTGCCCCGCCCGACCCCACCTTCCGGCCACCCCCCCGGCGACCTCAATGTAAGGACATAAGCAGAACGCAAGCACGATGTTGAGCACTGACCTCTCTGCCACTCGTTTGTTTTTCGTATCAGTGGACACATGTGGGTGGCGCGGCGATGTCGCAATACTCTGCAATCCGACTCTGCAAACTGCGACCCTGCTTTTCCACGCCAGGATCGCCTGATCTCCGGTCCTCACGGTCCTGCCAGCTGTTTCCTAGCCTTCCTCCGCGCTTTCGTCTTTGGCAATGAGGGAAAGCGAGGCGTGGTCGCAGGCACAGGAGCCGGAGCTGCCGGGCCCCACGAGCACGGAGGCCTTGTCGCCTCTCTGCAGCTTCAGGCCTTTTTTGGGGAGCAGGAAGGGGGAGTCCGTGTTGAAGGCCAATGAGGAGGCGACCTGATTGCTGCCTTGGAAGATGTGGATGTCGATGCCGTCGCCGCAATGCGACCCCATCTGACGCAGGTAGCCGACCAGGAGCACGGACTTGGCATGGCACTCGAACTCCAGCTCCAGGTACTTCTTCTCGGAGTCCTTGCATCCTGGGTGGAGCGCGATCGAGGCGTTGTCAGAACTCCCGGCTCCCTCGTAGCTCATGACCTTCTCCAGGGCAACCGCTGGCAGTCCCACGTCCTGGCCCTTGGTGATGAACGCGGCCGACCTCGCTGAGCCTGGGCCCCCTGAACTGCTTGTCTTGGTCAGCAGCGCCCGCTCTTTCAGGCCGGGCTTTGGAAGCGATGTCGCCCAGATGGACCAGCGGCCCAGCGGCTTCAAGATCTTCGAGTCGAAGGTGTCCAAGGTGTTGTCATCGTCCACCTGCGTGCCTTCCAAGTCTCCTCGCAGCGAAGCCACCTTTTTGCCCCAGTGTAGAGCTGCAGAGCCACTCGTGGGACCGCCGTCGCCCCCGAACATGTACATGTGGGCCACGTTGAACTTGGGAAAGTCCTGCCCCACCACATAGTAAGCATTGGAGTTCTCGTCCAAGCGCATGAGCGTGCCCACTCCATTCCAATTCGTCAGCGGTGTTAGCGACGGGTACTCCTTGAGCCACAGCTTTTCGCCCGTGGGCCCGAGCTTCAGCACCCACCACGTGAAACCGTGCGGTTTGGAATATCCGGCCACAATGACGTTGCCATCCCGGTCAGTCTTCATGCCCGCGGGCCTGTCAAGAGCACTTGTGCCATACCAGTATGACCACAGCATCTTGCCGTCGTCCTTGCTGAGCTTGACAACATATACATCAAGATTTCCGTGATTCGTGTGCCCAAACGCCGAGCCGCTGCAGCTTCCGGCGACGACCACGTCGTCGTTCCCATCCAGCAGCATGGTTCTCATGAAGCAACTCGGTCCCCATTGCTTCGTCCAAAGGGTGCGCAGATTTCCATCCATCTTCCTCACGAAGACATCGGTTTGGCGTCCCGTGCTCTTCCTTCCACCGGGCGCCAGTGCCCCATACGTGTCCCCCGCCACAAGGAAGTTGCCACTGCGGTCCGAAGTGGCACCTCTCGCTTCATCAGAATCCGAAGAGCTGATCAGGGTTTTCGAAACGAACTTCCCAGTTTCCCAATCGAGCTTCAGCGCCACCGCATCAGCAAAGTAATGTTGGCTGTTGCTCCTGTGCATTCCCATGAACGGGTGGTTGCCCAGGGACATAACAGAGAGCCAGACGTTCTTGCCTCCTGCATCCAGCTCCGCTGATCTCACGAGCCTTCTATGTGGATGTTCAATGAACTGGGTCCACTTCCGGCTGCCATCGGAAGAGACCTTCACCATCCAAGTCGACTCAGAGACCCAAAGCGCATTGCCGCTCTTGTCCATCAACAGTCGGACGAAGCCATCCGACGGATGTCGTCCAGTATCGAGTGGAATCAGCGAGACCCAGGCCACTTCACCGGAAGATGTGACCTTGGCCACGAAGGCGTGAGCTTTTTTCTTGGCGTTCCACGCAAAGTTTTTGCCGAAGCATTCGGACTGGCAGACCCCGACCATGATGACATCGCCGCTGGGATCCAGCACGGCCGCATGTGGGGTCACCCTGCGTTTTCGGTAGTCGCCGCCACCTTTCGAGTCGAAGCCCTTGGACCAAACCATGGTGCCCGAGGCGCTGAACTTTGTTAGCCAAAGCTTTTCGCCGTTGCTCCCCTTGTATGGCCCGGCAGCTCCGAGGACATAAATCGCACCGCTGTTCTCGTCGCCGAAGGACTGTTTAAACACGAAGGGGCACCCGTCGCAAGATTCGGCGTACCTGTCTGTTTTCCAAAGCCTCTGTCCGGAAGCGCTGAACTTCGACATGAGGCGGCCCGACCAGAAGGAGCCGTCCTTGGGGTCCACGAACTCGATTGTCGCCTGGGCACGCCAATAGCCGGCCGGGGATACCTTGTACATCCACCGCTGTCCCGGCGTTTCGGCCACCTTGGCGGCTGCCGCGAAGTCCAGGGACAAGCAGGACAAGGACGACGGGGAGGCCGCGGAGGCCGCGGAGGCCGCGGAGGCCTTGCAAAAGGGCTGTGTGGCCTCGGCTGCCAAGAGAAAGCCATGACATGCGGACACTCTCTCTTCCTCCTTCTTCTTACTTCTGCTCGCTTAAGGGCTCTCTCTCTCTCTCCCTCTCTCTCTCCCTCTCTCTCTCCCTCTCTCCTTCTCTCTCTTTCTTTCAACGACGCTCGCTCTCAATTTGGTTCATCTCACAGGGTTGAAGCTTGCGTTCAAGCGTTTGCTTGCCCAGCGTCCGTCGAGCACTCGGCTTGGAGGTTTAAGCGGATGCTCTGCATTTGCTTCGCCTTGCTGTCCCAGAAGAAGGGAAGAGCCATCCAGGCATCCGGGGCCTTTGCCACGTGGTTTGCGGGCAGCTGCGCAACGAAGGCCGCTTGGCTCGCAAGGACCTCTGGGAACTCGCCGCCCCCAAAAGCTCCGGCCTCAAGGAAAAACTTTCGGGGGCCATCACTCGGGGGCTTCATTTTGGGAGGCTACAGTAGCGGACCAAGTCCCTCAGAACTCCCTGTGCTGAGCTTTGCCTACGGCATGGGCCGACGTCGAGGTTGCTTGTGTGTTTACAATGCTTCCACAAGTCTCCAGCATGCACCTGCCCTCTTGTGGTTGTATTGTGTGTGCGGAAGGTACGGCCCTTAAGGTGCACGGGTCATGTCAGCAGGGGTGCCCGAAGAGATGGGCATGCTCACTGGCATGGGTGGGCACATAAAAATGACCAGGTCTTTCAAAGTTTGTATTGTGTGCCTTTCTTGGGGCATTTAACGGGATGCGGCATCTGCGGCATCTGCCATCCACCCTGAGTTGCAGTGTGAAGATCACTTCTAATCGGCTGAAAGCCCCCGTGCCTTTCAATTTGCCTCCCCGTCTGGGTGATCGTGGAAATTCAATGAAATTCATGCTTCATCTTTTGTTGTACACAGTTAGCGGAATTGCCCACGCTTGTCCAGACCAATGTTGGTGCCTTTGCATCTCAGTTGAAGACCCTAGTGACCATCGCGGGGGCCACCGCACTGGAACCCAAGATATCCCGATACGGTTGGAATGTGTTCCGCAAGACAGAGCGGCATAGCAAATCTCATAGTGGCAGAGCGAGAGGGCGTAGCTACCACGACAAGAAAAAGGATTCACACCATGACAAGGAAATTTTCGGCACCATGACAGAAAGAAAACTTACCACGACAGCGAATGAAACCTGAACGCGACAAGGAATGAAAACCTCGCGATGGTTAGGAGAAACGCAAACCTCATTTTCAAGCCTCAGAAGCTCCAAAACGATGGTTCCCCACCCCCCCGATGTGGGGGAATCACCGTTTTGGCGTCTTCAAGCCTCAAAAGCTCCAAAACGGTGATTCCGGAATCACCGTTTTTCTGCTTGCCCGCCTCAAAGCTCCAAACGGTGATTCCCCCGCATTCTCTACTTGCCCCAGCCCCCCCCCCCCGCATCCGGGCGGGGGGATCACTGTTTTGGCGTTTTCAAGCCTCCAAAACTGATTCCCCCACATTTTCTGCTTGCACCAGCCCCCCCCCCAGCCCAGCCCAGCCCAGCCCCCCCCCCCCCACGGATGCGGGGGAATCACCATTTTGGCGTTTTCAAGCCTCAATTTCAAAAGCTCCAAAACGGTGATTCCCCCGCATTTTCTGCTTGCCCCAGCCCCCCCCACAGATGCGGGGGAATCACCGTTTTGGCGTTTTCAAGCCTCACCAGCTCCAAAACCGGTGATTCCCCCGTATTTTCTGCTTGCCCCAGCCCCCCCCCCCCCCCAGATGCGGGGGAATCACCGTTTTGGCGATTTCAAGCCTCAAAAGCTCCAAAACGGTGACCCCCGCATTTTCTGCTTGCACCAGCCCACCCCCCGCCCCGCATGGGGGAATCACAGTTTCGTCGTTTTCAAGCCTCAAAAGCTCCAAAACGGTGATTCCCCCACATGTTCTGCTTTCCCCAGCACCCGCCCCCCCACCCCCACCGTTTTGGCATTTTCAAGCCTCAAAATCTCCAAAACGGTGATTCCCCCTCATTTTCTGCTTGCCCCAGCCCGGATGCGGGGGAATCACCGTTTTTGGCGTTTTCAAGCCTCACAAGCTCCAAAACCGGTGATTCCCCCGCATCTTCTGCTTGCCCCAGCCCCCCCCCCCCCCCCCCCCGCCGATGCGGTGGAATCACCGTTTTGGCGTTTTCAAGCAAAACGATGATTCCCCCGCATTTTCTGCTTGCCCCAGACCCCCCCCCCCCACAGATGCGGGTGAATCACCGTTTTGGCGTTTTTCAAGCCTCAAAAGCTCCAAAACGGTGATTCCCCCGCATATTCTGCTTTCCCCAGGCCCCCCCCCCCACCCGATGCGGGGGAATCACCATTTTAGCGTTTTCAAGCCTCAAAAGCTCCAAAACGGTGATTCCCCGCATTTTCTGCTTGCCGCAGCCCCCCGCCCCCTTTACCGGATGCGAGGGAATCACCGTCTTGGCGTTTTCAAGCCTCAAAAGCTCCAAAACGGTGATTCCCACGCATTTTCTGCTTGCCCCAGCCCCTCCCCCCCGGATGCGGGGGAAATCACCGTTTTGGCGTTTTCGAGCCTCAAAAGCTCCAAAACGGTGACCCCCGCATTTTCTGCTTGCACCAGCCCCCCCCCCTCAGCCCAGCCCGGCCCAGCCCCCCCCCCCCCCGATGCGGGGAAATCATCTTTGGCGTTTTCAAAGCATTTTCCTGCCCCGCCCCCCCCCCCCCCCCCCCCCCCCCCGATTCCCCCGCAGTTTTGCTTGCCCCAGGCCCCCCCCCTCCCCCGATGCGGGGGAATCACCATTTTAGCGTTTTCAAGCCTCAAAAGCTCCAAAACGGTGATTCCCCCGCATTTTCTGCTTGCCCCCCCCCCCCCCCCCCCCCCCCGGATGCGGGGGAATCACAGTTTTGGCGTTTTCAAGCCTCAAAAGCTCCAAAACGGTGATTCCCCCGCATTTTCTGCTTGCCCCAGCCCCTCCCCCCCCCCCATGCGGGGGGAATCACCGTTTTGGCGTTTTCAAGCCTCAAAAACGGTGATTCCCCCGAATTTTCTGCTTGTCCCAGCCCCACCCCCCGCCCCGATGCGGGAATCACCGTTTTGGCGTTTTCAAGCCTCAAAAGCTCCAAAACGGTGATTCCCCCGCATTTTCTGCTTGCCCCAGCCTTAAGGGGGGGAATCATCGTTTTGGCGTTTTCAAAATGGTGATTCCCCCGCATTTTCTGCTTGCCCCAGCCCCCCCGCCCCCCACGAACACCGTTTTGGCGTTTTCAAAGCCTCAAAAGCTCCAAAACGGTGATTCCCCCGTATTTTTGCTTGAATCACCGTTTTGGCATTTTCAAGCCTCAAAAGCTCCAAAACGGTGATTCCCCCGCATTTTCTGCTTGCCCAGCCCCCCCCCCCCCCCCCAGGCCCACCCCCCGCCCCCGATGCGGGGGAATCGCCATTTTGGCGTTTTCACCCTCAAAAGCTCTAGAATAGTGATTCCCCGCATTTTCTGCTTGCCCCAAGCCCCCCCCCCCAGCCCGAAGCCTGTGTTACCACTTGCTTGTCGAAGCGGGAAGAGGCAGGCATATTGACCCCTAAACCCTTATCAAGCTAAACCCTAAATCCTTGTCAGGCTGAACCCTAAACCCTTGTCAGTGTAAGAAAAAACCTTGTCGCTGCAGTTGTAAAGCTTGTCATTGTGCAGAAAACTGTGTCGTGGTAAGAACGTACTGTCGTGGCAGAGCAGTCGCTGTCCGTTTCAGACTTTCGGTAGCTTGAAACGGCCTGCAAAAGCAAAAAAGCAAAGGCTGCCGGAGCCTCGGGATACCCTGACTCGGCACAGAGCTTGCGGTACTCTTCCGCTGAGCTTGGCAGCGTCTTGGGGGTGATGACGCCAGCCGTGAAGCCACTTGCATAGCTCCTCGATCTCACGATCTCTCGATCTCTCGATCTCTCAGGTCGCAGAACAGCTGAGAAGAGCTGAGAACAGCCGGGTCACTCAAAAGATCTTTTGTCAACCCTACGAGTATGTTTCGTCCTGTTGGTGTAGTTGAAGCTACAGTAGGCCATGGTGGTGAAGCCATCGCTGAGGATGTTCCAGGGCTCGGAGACCTTGGCCCAGACCTGAACTTCATGGAACGCAGGTGTCGGACCTGTCGCCGAGAGGCGCAGCTCCGCCGTGCGCACGGGCTCCTTGAGCCTCCAGTGTTGGGTCACCGGCTGAGCCAAACCAACCGAGTCGGCCCAAGGAACCGTGGCCAGCCGGGTCCAGGTCTTGACGGTCTTGCCTTTGCTCGTGGTGGCGTGGGCGAACTCCAGGGTGACGCTTTTCAAGGATTTGCCGGTGAGGCTCACGCCGTGCACGAGGCTGACACTCGGAAGCGCCATGTCCACGCCGCTTTCCTCAGGGCTCAGAGCCGTGGACAGATTTTTCTCTGCGCCCCGGCTAACAAAAAACATCATAGCTATGCTGGTTATGCTGGCTATGCCAACGTCTCTTGAAGCCAACTTTTGAAGCCCAGGGGCCTTCTGTGGCTCCCAAGCCGTCGCAGCGTCGCCATCGTTGAGCTCGGACATCAGATGCCACGTTTTGGGAGGGGACGTTGAGGACCAAGCCAGGGCCGCGGCCCCCGAGAGCTTCCAGGCAGCGTTGGCGAAAGCCTCGGAAGCGAAAGCCGTGGAAGTGACGACCTCGACGCCCTGGTCCTCGGCTGCGGCGACGTCGCTCACGATGGAGGTGTTGGTGCTGGTATAGAGCGAGTACCAGCCACTGGGAAGCGTCACATTTGTTGCTGCCTCCCGCTTCAGAAGAGCCTGGCAACTCCCGACATCCACCGCAAGATTGCAGTAGACAGCCTGCGACGCACCGTTTCCCGTCATGAGCTGGTACCAGCCTGCAAGCAGGACATGCCAGCAGAACATGCGTTCTAGCCTGCAGTCATGGCTTTGTGATCACTGCTAATCCCTCAATTAACGGCTCGGAAGGCCTGCCGGCATCGCGGATGCTTTGGCCTCTTGCAGTTCATGGCACGTCGAACGGCCGCTTCTGCAATCGGCGGCGCACCAGTCGTCGTCCAGCAAGTTGCCATCGTCGCAGACCCTCGGACACAGGCGCATCAAGACAAAAGCCATGGGTGCACAGCAACGGCCCGATAAGCGATCTATAGCTGTCCTATAGCCTAGAGCTGCATCTTTCCGACTGCGTTCCAGCGTCTCGTCGCCCACGACACGGCCATCTCCACAGATTTCCTGGCAGAGGTTCGGCTCGCACATCCAGCCGTCGATGATCCTTGGGTGACATTGAAGAAGCAAAACGCATGAAGTAAGCCAAGCTCACAGAGAGCCCGAAGAGGGCAAGAGAGAAACAAGAAGGGTCAAGAGCCGAGGTTCTTGCACTCGGCATCACAACCCTTCCCAGGCGGGTCACACTCCTCATCTCCAGTAACCTGACAAGAACCCCCAAAGTGGCAGCTCCGTCCCTTTCGTCACTTCGCGACAAGCTGAAGCTCATTAAGCCCCAAAACAAGCACTCGGAGTCGGAGTCTAAGTACTCAGTCTGAAGTTCACCGAACTCTGAGTCCGTAGCGAGACCATCGCCACAATCGAGCATGACGAGCTTCGTGCTGGCACTGTCGCACTGCTCCAAATCCGATTGTCCAAGGGGGTGCAAGCTGCGGCCGTACACGTGCAAGACTGTCGCAATGGTGTCCAGACTGCTATTTTCTCCGTGATGACTCTGCACAAGCCAAGGATTTCCGAAAAATTCTGATGATTTGTTCAGCGCCATGCCAACGAAGAGGCAGTCCGTCGCCGTATCAGCTCCGGCACACGTGACAGAGAATGTTTGCCCATCGCTCCACAGCTTGTATGGGCTGCCATGGATTGGTTCTGTCGTGGGCATCGGTTTCGTCGCATCTCCAAGCTCGGACTTCTTGAGCCGCACGTCGTGGCGGACCCAGCGGCCTTTCTTCGTGAAGCCGGTAAAGGTGAGCTCCTGGTAGGCCCCGCAGTCCAGCTTGGCGCTGCTGTCCGGGAGCTGGGTCCCGCACAGCGAGAGGTCCTCACAGTGTGCTGCCCTTCTTGCCCTGGAACGCTTTTGCTACCCTAAAAGTCTAGCACGAAGCTCAGGCCCCCAGTACTTGTAGCTCTTCGGGTGTCCTCCATGCTGAGGTCGGGCGTCCTTCCCCGCACAGGTTTGCTAATGCGTGTGCGGCCGCAATACTCGAGCTGGCAGGTTGGCGAGCATCCGTCGTGTTCCTGGGATGCTGTCGGGCTGCGCTCTGTTGGCAATCTTCAAAGAGACTATTGGCCCACATGGCCCTTGCAGCGAAGGCTCGAATAGGTTGTTCTCATCACAGTCCTGGCTTTCCAGTTACTACAGTACTTTCTGTTACTGAAGCGTTGTCGGCGTTAACGATGGCAGAGCGATGTTGAGTTTCAACTCTTGGGGAGCCTCGTGCTTGACCGGCTTGTGGTCGCCGCACCTCTCCAAGCAGAGGGGGGCAAAGGGAGAGAGAGAGCGAGAGGAAGGAAGGAAACAAAAAAGGATGGAGGGAGGCAAAGAAGGAGGGAGAGAGGCTTTTTTGTTGCATCTTCTTTTTCTCTTTCGTCCCCCCCGGTCCTGGCCACGCACGGCCGGCCCGGTACAGGACAGTCGTAGCCCGGGACCACCTGGCAGTCCTTGCAGCCCTCGCCTCAGGCGCAGCAGAACGGCAGAACGCAAGCAACACGCCGCAACACACTTGGGAGAGATATCAGAAGCATGCTCTTGTGAGCACGAGCCTGCAGCTTCGCTTCTTGACTTCGTTGAAACAAGGTTGCGCGTGTTTTTTCAGAACTCCGACAACACCCTCCCTCAAAAACAGACCCAACTGCAAGGAATGATGGTCAAAAGTACAGAAAGCACAGACAGGCTGGTCATGATCCCCGGCCGTTGAGTTGGTGCCTGCTCGCGCTCATAGCACGAAAGTGTCAAGGCCAAGCAGCGGGTGGCCGGTCGTGTCTGGGTCACGTGCCAGTACCAGGCACAACTGGGTGCAGAGGGCATTGCCGGCGGGCTTTGGCACAGAATGGGCGAGAGAAGAGAAAAAACAAAATCCCCCCCTTTGTGTTTGCTGAGCCGGGCGTCTACCCGGCGCCGGACTCGAGGGGCACATACCGGCACCAGCGTTAGCTTCCTTTTCTTCTTCATGTTGATGCTCTGCTGAGCTGCTGAGCACATTTCGGCGCGTGGGGATGCGTGGGGTAAAGTGGGGTAACGTGGGGTAGCATGTGTGTGTGTGTGTTGCTGCCTGAAAGATCCTGAAAGTGTTCTCGGAAAACACAGCGGAGCTGGCAAGCATAAGTGCCTGCGGCACCCTTTCCCAAGCTTTTCGGTCAGGGACTGTCCAGTTCACAGGGCTCCCTGAATCAACTCACCGCTTACAGCTTTAAGTTATTAAGGGGGAGCATCACTACATACCAGAGCACATGAGCGTGCGATCAAGCCCCGTCACCTGGAGAATCACACTCCTCGATCATGTCCAGCTTTCCGTTCCCGCAATGCCCTGCAGCAAGCTGCTCCACTGCGGCCCCCCAGAACCTCGAGAAGACCACAAAAGCTGCAGAAGTGTAACAGCTGACAGGTCTAGGCAGCTGCAAGTACTCAGCCTGAGCCTTTCCGATTCTGATGGTAACACTATTGTGACGAGCGGGAGAACACCAGGGACCCAAGCCTTTGAGAAGAAGCCTGCCGCTACTTCTCTCAGCGCCCCCCCCTGTGCCTGAAGAGGTCTGCATCCAAGGGAGTGGTCCGCACCAGCATGGCGTCGATGGGGGTGACCAGCTTGCTGTTCTTCGTGTCCCTGAACCACTCCTTCTTCGCCTTCTCAACCCAGCGCAAGGCACTCGTGTCAACGACATCTCCCAAGCCGGCAGGGTCGCAAAGCGAGCGCACCTTCACTTTGCCGCCTTTTTCGGTCCAGCAAATGAAGCTGCTCTCCATCAGGTCCTTGATGTTGGGGTAGGAGATTTGCGAACAAGCTGTCGCGTCAAAGTCGTGGAGCCAGGCCAGAGCCTGGGTGTGAAGGAGCTTGGAGGGCCTTCGCATGATCAAGGAAGCGACGCGTGATGCTGGTGAAGCACCTGAGGGTGACTTCAGCGGGACCGGTCCCCAGTAGACCAAGCGAGAAAGGTCCGCTTGTCCCAGCTCCAGGAGCACTGGCTTCTGGCATTCGGCTGGTGCTGGGCTGAAGTGGGGACCGAGAATATCAAGCAACTCTGTCGCCAGCTCCAAACTACCCAAGACGACCTGCTGATCGGTTTCCTTCATGGCATGATGCCTACGAAGGGACTCAAAGTCGAAGGCAATCTTCTCGAAGGCCTTCTCCATTTGCTGCACAAACCGCTCTTCAGCAAGCATGTCCCACGAGGCGAACTTGGAAAGCAACACCTTCAACTGTGAGTAGTAGTTCATGAGGCTGATCGTGTATTGCAAAGGAACTCCGTCAAGGGCATCTTCCAAGAGCGAGTGAAAGATCTGGGCTGCCTCCGTAGTGTACAGATACTTGCCCATGACCCTCCGCTGTGGAAAGGAGCCATCGGAGCACTTGCCTGGGCCATCTGCTGGCGGCGTGCAGCACGCAAGACACGCAGAAAAAGCAGCACGAAAAACATCAACAGGCAAGAACAACTCAAAAGGGTATGCCCAACGAGAACCCAATCACATGGACTGATCTGCATCACCTTGCGCTTGCCACAGGACTGGGCGCAGGATTCGCGCGAGCCGCCTGGCACGGATATTTGGGGTATCTCAGGGCTCTCGGGAGGGTGGGGAGGGGGTGGGGGTGGCAGCTCAATATTCTCAGCAGAGAGAAATCGACAAAATCCAAACCCCACATGTAAGAATAAGAATACATGTTGACATGCGGAGATTCTACACATTCGTTTCAATGTCTACGACTACGAGAGTAGCATGTGGCAGCGACAACGACTTTCCAAAGGTCCGGCCATACATGGCGCTCTGGTCCTCAACGATTGCTGCAGTCATGACAATGGTGTCAAAGTGCATCCGCGTGAACTTGCCCTCAACTGCCAGCGCCGCTATCTGAGAGAACTTCTCAACGGAGTGTGCGAAGGAATGCTGCAGTTGCCTCTGCCGTCATACTGCAGATTCGTCACTCGGCATGTGTTCTGACTGACAGTTCCCCCCCCCCCCTACCCCCACCGCCGGATGTGATCCCCCCTTTTATATGCCCCAAGCGGAACCAAGTTGCCTTGTAACTGCCATGCTGGTGTTCTCAACCCTCGCCATAGCCTGTGTGCGGAGCAAGGAACTCTTCCAAACATGTGAAAAAGCTATGGATCCGCAAACTCCGTAACAAACCACGAGAAAAGAACCACACACGATTTCCACTGCTGGCTTCGTAGCAGTCGTCACGGCATGCAGTGGCGCGCCACAGCTTCGGTAGGCTTGCTGCAAGGACTTCACGATGGCCAGCTCCCGATGCCTCTGCTGCGAAATCGCATTAAAGTCCTGGAAGAAGCCGTTCATCTCCAGCACGATGGACTCGAACTAACAAGGGCGCATCAGAGCATCTTCGCTACTTTTGTCTTCATACTTTAAGCCAGCTGCTTCAAAGAGATTGGCCTCGTAGATGAAATCTTGGAACCTCATCTCCACGACCTTAAGTCAATATGCGAGCTCGCAGGTGCTAGCCTTAGCCTAAAAGGGGGCGCAGATGGCGTAAGAACCTCAGCCGGAGACCGTTCGGGGAATGTCGTCCACCTTCTCCTCGATCACGTCCAATTTCTGCACGACGGCCAGCAGCGCGTTCATCTGCTTCTGCTGGCCTGGCTGGGAACCAAAGAAATCTGGCAAAACGAAGGCCAAAGGATGCCAAAAGCAAAGTACCCAACAACAAATTCTTTCCGGGCATTTCGGGGCATTTCCAGGAGGCCTGAGCGAAGGTCGGTGAACTGCCTCTGGCTCTGGGCAGCAAGGTCGGCGATGCGTTGGTCCGTCTTGTCAAGTCGGCTGAGCGTTTCGTGGAGCAGGTCCTGCAGCGTTGGCAGCAGGGAGAATCAGATGACGGGTGACATGGGGCGACATTGGGCTTTGGAAACCTACAGGCAGGTGGTTCATCGTCAATCGTGTGAAAAGCTGGGGTCCTGCACTTGGTCCAGCGACTCGTCCATTGCGTCCAGCCTGGTGTTCAGCTCCCCAAAGCGCTCATTAATCAGATCATGTGTGGATGCCGTGCTGGATTTGATGAGGTCTTCCAAGATGTAGCGGTTCGTATTCATGGCATCGGTTAGCTTGTCCACGGCAGCGTCGATTTGTGCACCGGTGCCGCTCAGCACGGCATCTTGAAGCTGGGCCATCTGCTCGCCGACGAACTCCTTCATCTTCTCAGTCTGCAACTCCGCATTGCACTGGGATGCTTGCATCATGTAGGCCAGGCGAGCGTTCTGTTCCTTCTGCGCCTGGTCGATCTTCGCCACGAGCTGCTGAGTTTGCTCTTTGGTTCGGTTCGCGTCCCTCTTCTCCATGTCTGCAAGTTGCTGGCGTGTTTGGGCGGCCTGCTGGTTCACCATGTTCTGGGTCTCCAAGATGTCCTCCTGCATCTTCTCCTGCTTCGCCAGCATCTTGTCCACCTCATATAAGGGCGCGATCACATTTACGCAAGCTGGCAAAAAAAAAAAAAAAGAGGGACAAGCGAGGCCAGAGAAGGAGAGACCAGGAGTTTTTGTACCCAAATAAACCGACGAGCGGAACACCTGGGATGACATGAAGTACTCGTGGAGGCGGCTCTGATACAGCTGAGCCAGCTCAGCAGTTGAAGCTCCCTCGCCTGAGAAGGGGAGAAAACTGTGACGTGGTCCGAATCTGCACATGTCCGCACCAAGCAGTGGAAACTTGTAGCAGCGTAGCACACAGAAGCCCAGCCTGTGGCCAGCGCCTGCATCTCACACATCCACTGATCACCGAATGCCTCGGGTCAACTACAAAGGCACAAGAGCTAAGAAAAGACGCGAGCTTCAGACCGCGACGCGAGACAACTCAAAACCATCGGACTGCCACTCAACCATACTCCTAACCATCGGGCACCTTCGTGCAGGACTCCTCCTTGACGATCTCTTCAGGGGCATTCGACGCGAGCATCTCGAAAGAAAGGTTGAGCTCCGGCCGCCAGGTCTTGAACTCAATCTTTCGCATCCCGGGAAAAGCAGAGAAAGCGGAGGCTTGCAGGAGCGCCGTCTTGGATTTGGGGTCTGACTTGCAGTCCTCGAAGTTTGGCACCTTCTCCCCAACATTGATATCCGGGCAGTCGAGATCCATGCTCATCACTTCGCAGACAAACTTCACGTAGCTGCTTTGCGACAGCGCGAGGACTTCTCCTGCAACGCCATCTCCTTGGATTCCCTCTCGTTCTGCTGCTGCCTGCAAGGCCTGGGCCTGGCAATCCGTGTCACCCGCACAGGCGGACAAGGCTTCGCCCTCTGCCGCAGAAATGCCTTTCGCAGCATCGCACTTCGTTTGCTGGGCTTCCTTCGGGGAGCGCATCTTCTGCTCCGAGAGTTGCACCTCCGCGCCCTTGCAGTCCTTCTTCCCAAGGCCGATGTAGCAGGTCCCGGAGACCATCTGGGCGGCCTTGCACTCCTTGTCCGCGTGGCAGGCCTGCTTGCAGATGGTGTCGGTGCCGGCATTCGGGAAGATGCCCATGTCGGCGCAGAGACCCGCCACGGGGAGCGGCCTCCAGGGAACGGAGCCGAAGGTGTTCTTGTCCTCACACTCCACGGGACCGCTCACGCTGCCCGCCGTGTCCTTCACGTAGATGGCGCCGCGGCCGCCAAAGCGGCAGTACCCCGTCGGAACTGGCGCATCCGTAGCTGTGAAGGACCATCGCCGACAGCCGTCGCACTCTTTGCACGCGTCCTGGCACTGCACCGGCGCACTCACTTCTCCGACCGCAGCTGCGAGATCCGTGCAAATGGCATCATCGACTTGGATGGAAGCGCCGTAGGCGAAGCAAAAGCCAGCTGCCTTCTCGGTGTGCGTCGTGAGGTTCTCCAGCTTGCCTGTACGAAGCAAAAGAGGAAAAGCACCAAAGGAATCAACTGAAAATAGAGAGCGAACCCCCCCCAGCTCTCAAGGAGCCCACTGACAAACTTCGAAAACACATTGGACCGAGCCTTCAAAGCCGTTCTGGAGAAGCTGTCCCATGTCGCTGTCTTCGTCTTCGCCATCCTCTACTTTGACGTCGATGTCGGTGTCGAGAACATCGGGAGCAAGGTCAGGAAGGCTGTCGTGGACTCCCTTGTTGATCGGGGCCATGATTGGCGCCGTGACTTGATCAACCAGCTTCTCAAAGGGTGTCAGGGCGAAGCCGAAGATATCCCGCAAGAAGCCATCGAGTGCTTCAAGCAACTTCTGCATTGTAAAGGAATAGCATCCGAATAGTGGGACGCAAACCTTATGCGTTTTGCTCAGCGCCTTGTCGAACTTTACGACCTGTAGGACGAATGGGGGGTTGAGGGTTGAGGACTGAGGAGGGGATGCAAGAAGTGAGAAGAAGTCACGCGGCAGCACCATTCCAGGCAAGACGCCGGCCCCAAGAAGGTGTCGAACATCTTCTTCCCCGCCTTGAACTTGTCCACCATGTCATCCGGAAACCGTTCGATCAGCGCCCTGATCTTCTCCACAAAGCTTGCCGGGATGATCTCCAAGTCCAGAACTGCTGTCAAGACCCGAGCCAGAGTTGATGTCGCTGTTGGCATCCATGTGCAGACGCCCATGCTCTGCCCGATGCTCTTGGCCGCCACGGCGTTCTTGGGTGGGAATGCCACCAATCTCAGTGCCGGAATGGCCTTGTCCAAGTATGCCAGCTTCTCCTGAAGGTCTCCGCTGAAGCCGCAGAACTTGTCCAAGACTGGCAGCACCTTCTTGTCGAGAAAGACTTGCACTTTGGTGAGGATCTTGTCAAGCATCGAGACGACTTTCTTCACGACCGGCTCCAGCGCTCTTGCCAGCACGCCCACAAGCGGCAATTTCGAGGCCATCTTGACGAACCGGCCTACCGCCTCAGCAGCCAAGCTGATTGTGTCGAGACTCTCGCTCACGATGGAGCCGATTTCGTGCATCTGGCAGCCCTTGTCAGCCGCCTGAAGCAGTCCCTCCTCTCCCTGCTCTCCCTCTGCTCTCCCCGCTCTCCCTCCAGTCTCCTCTCTTACCTCATCTCTTCTTTTCTGTCCTCTCTGTCCTCTCTGTCCTCTCTGTCCTCTCTGTCCTCTCTGTCCTCTCTGTCCTCTCTGTCCTCTCTGTCCTCCCTGTCCTCCCTGTCCTCCCTGTCCTCCCTGTCCTCCCTGTCCTCCCTTCCTCCCTTCCTCCCTTCCTCTCTTCCTCTCTTCTGGTCCTCTCGTTCCCTGCTTCTCGCCTCCGTGAAAACCTGGAACAGGGCCGACGTCTCCAAGCCCGCCACCTGGTCAGGGGGGAGACTCTTCCCCTTTTGCCCCCCCTTGGTGTGCTTGTGAGAACTCTGTGAGAACTCTGTGAGAACTCTGTGAGAACTCTGTGAGAACTCTGTGAGAACTCTGGGGTATTTTTGAGAAGGGTGTTTGCCTTCTCCTGGACGGTGTTCAGGTCTGCTTCCATCTGCGTGCCGTGCTTTGGACAGAGGGGGGGGCCCGGCTCCCCCAAGGCCGCGAGGAACTGCCCCGCGAGAGCCAGCGGGCCGCCGGCTCCCGCGAGCAGCTTGGAAAGGTCGCTTGCGCTGATCTTCAAAGGCTTGGCCTCGAACAGCCCAACCACTTCATCTCCGACGCCGAACTCGCCCACAAGGCTCTCCGCCGAGCTCGCCAGCTTGGCGACACCTTCGCCCTCCATTCTCTCCAGAACTTTCTGCATGAAAGGATGAGTGGAGTGGAGGCTCCCTTGAAGGAAGATCCCTTTGTTCGCCCTCTGCTCGCCCATCCAGGACTGAAGCGCCTCCGCAAACTTCGTCAACTCTTCCACAACTTCCCCGGGAATCCCCAAGCTCTCCAGCTGCTCTTCCGCGAGCGCCGTGAAGCGCTGGGTGATTTGAGACTTCATCTCAACAAGGGAGTCCTGGAAGAATCGCCGGATCATCTCCTCGCAGAGCGTGGAGATGTGCTTCTTGAAGGCTCTTGAGAGCTTCTTCTTGTCCCAGGTCTTCAGGTCCGAGGCCTGTCCCTTGATAGCCTCGACCATCGAGAAGTCACCCTGGAGAAGCGTGGTCACTGCGCCCACGAGCTTCTTCCAGGCCGACCTGAAACAGAAAGACGCAACACGACTTGGTCCGTCCGAAACTTTGCATGACGGAGATTGCCAAACATCACTCTGCATCACGGAGAGCAACTCTCGAAGGCACGCAGACAAAACTCTCTATCGTCTTAGGTGGATCATTCAGAGGCTTGTGTCCGGCTCCAGCTCTCACAAACGCTTGAACAGCAATGTGTTACGCACGCAACTCCTGCTATGCGATGCAAATGGTAAAGTTTATGACAAGCGCTCTCTTGTCCCGGCTCCCGCCTGACTTCGTCCTTCTGGGCCTCCGTGAGCGCGGTCTGCTTGCTCAGCTTCTCCTCAAAGTTCACCTCGGCGTCGGCGATCTGAGCCTCTGCGGCTTGCTGGACCTGCTCCTTGAGGTTGGTCTGAAGAGCGGCACCCTGCTGCTTCAACCCTTCAAGGAGTGCGTCGGAGAGGTCTTGTATGACGGGTTGCACGCTCTGCAGGAGGCCGGAGGGCGAAGATTTCTGGATGCTTGAAAGGTGCTGCTTCAGGCTCGAGGGGGAGGAGGCGAGAGCCTTCTTGAGGGCCTTACGACACTCGTTTTCTGCCACCTTGGCCACGGCCGATGCCGTGGAGCCCAGCAGCCTCTCTGCCTCCACCAAGACGACGTCAGGTGCCAGGCCGAGGCCTCCCTGGAGGCCCAACACGGAGGCCGACAAGAAGCCTGAGGACTCCACGCACATGGGCCCCACGAAGGTGCTGAGGAGCGTCCCCCCAACCTCCTCGGCGTCCTCCGCAACGCATTCAAGCAGCCGAAAAGTCACGTCGCGCAGCTGGCCTCCAAGCCAAGGCACACCCCCCACTGCTCCGCACCTACGCCACCCGGTCCTCCCGTGACCCGTTTCCGTCCCCTCCCCTTCCCCCGTGTTTTACTCTTTCGACAGGAATGAGGGTTGTCGTTCAAGCTTCAAGGCTCAGAGTTAGAATGTAGAGGGTCGAAGGCTTAGGATCGTGTTTGCTACGCGGTGCGGGGGTTTTGAGGTTCTAAGTACCAGGTTCAGACTCTGGTCGTGAATTCGAGCGCCGACTGCCGCCCGAGGTTCTGCCCTCCTCTAGCTCGTGACAATCAGAACATGGCGAACGCGAGTTCGTGGCGATTTGGCGGATTTTGGCGGAGTTTCGGTGATTTTCCTTGTGAGATGTTTAGCCCAATTCCCGTGCCGCCGCCATGTGTCCCGTCACTTCGTCCCGCAGTACACCACCCCTAGCACATATATGTCCCGTTGGCCACCGCCCAGAATGCCCGCAGCCCGTTTTGCTTGGCACAAAAAGGGGAAAAAGACCCTTCTCAGCCGCTCCAACCCCCGAAACAAACAGAAAAAGTCTCCTGCGTCTGGATCTCCTTCTGCAGCTCCTCCAAAGCTCTTTTCTGAACGTGTTCCCTACGTTGACGAACCTCGTCTTTGACGCGCTTCTCCACTTGAGATGCCACCGGCACCACAATGGTCTGAAGCTTTTTAAAGCTGAAGCTCGTGAAAGTCTGCTTTGCGCCTCTCACGAAGCTCGCCAGAGTCTTGCCGAACCCTTCCGCCTTCTTCTTGTCGAAGGGCAGCGTGCACTTACCGGCGTCGGACTCGGGCAGTGCCTCCAGCAGCGTGCGCTGGATCACGTCCCCGGCATTCTTGGCCATCGTCTTGGTCCAAGCCTCTCCTTGTTGCACGTGGCTACGGAGAGCTTTGATGGCGTCCTTCACCGCCAACTCAGACTCTTCCAACACGACCTTTGCCGGCCCGATCAGCTTCACTTCTGGGGGCGTGATCTGTCTAAAGACCTCGTTGGCACCCTCCTCCGTGGAGCTCAGCACGCCTGACAAAGGGGGGTTGTGGGTCCAGGGCGAACTCTTTTGAAGCATCTCACACGCTACGAGATTGCCAGATGCTGCGCCACGCTGCGCCCCCAGCCTGACACGATTGTTCCGAGGCCATTCGACCCATCATTGACGGATGTGAGGAGGCTGGAGATTTGCCTGGCGGTCCATTCTGCAAGGCGCTCCACCAAGAAGGATTGCGCGTCACAGGCCAGTTGAACCATTTGTGTCTTGAAGCTCTCGTAGAGCTTTCCTCGCAAGAAGCCCTTTGTCTCCGTGGTAAGGTTCTTCATTTGGGTTTTCAGGACAGTCGGAAACTTCTTCAGCTCGACTTTCACTGCGCCGCTGACATTCTTGACCCAGACCTTGCTCTTCTCCATGGTGGGGGCCACGGCCTTGAGGGCGGCATCCTTGAGCTCTCCCAAGCCCGAAGGGCCCGAAGGGCCCGAAGTCCCCTTCTTTGAGCTCTCGCCTTTGGCCTTGGCAAACTCCTCCTTGGCGATAATCACGGTTGTGGCAGATCCCGTTGCGAAGCCCTGGCGAAGCACGTCCATGGGTTCGACCACCAAAGCATCGACGATGCTTTCCGTTTGCTCCGTCAGCTGAGCGGAAACGAAGCCCATGATCTCCAGGACCAAAGCTCGGCCGATGTTGCTGACTCTGCCCTTCACCTGAAGCACAAAAGCCCTTGTCAAGGACTCTGCGGCCTTGTCGTCGAGCCCAACCATCACTGCGCCGCGACCGGCCAATGCTTCCAAAGGGCCTTGAATGACGCCAAAGGCCTGAAGGACACGCCATGACACAGCTGGGGGCTTCTTCCGTGACGACCCGGAAGAAAAGACAAAGAAAGTCCGGTTCCTGCCTCCTCGATGAGCGTGTTCACAGCACCGGTACTGGACTTGGTGATTTCCTCCATCCACGCTTCGGACACTCCTTGGCACAGACCATCAACGCAGGGGTTTTGGAGCCCTCTTTTCTTTCTGGAGAGAGAACTGGGGCTTTTGACAGCTTCGGCTTCAAGCCGAGCGTCCTCGAATCACGTCCTTCACAATGGCCCCGATGTTGCCGAGCTGGTACGGCGGCATGAAGGATCCCATGAGATTGGCCGAGTTGGTTTTGAGCTCCTTCAACAACAAGTCTTTCTGGCTTTAAAGAACTGATCTGCTTTTGTTCGCTTGTTTTTGTAAGGGGTTTCTTCCAATGTTTGTGTTCGGTGTTTTTGTATTTGTTGCCGCTGTTATTGGGTTGAGGTGCTATAAGAGCTACCGGCCTTTAGAAGCAAGTCTTCGGTCTTGGACAGAATCTCCGTTTTGTCCGTCGTGGAAACGCCCGCCTCCTGCATCAAACATGCTAAGCTCCCAGGAGCGCATGACACATCTTTGCAAGCAAGTCACTTGACAACTTGACACACTTCAGGGAGTTCCCCCAAAAGTCTGCCCCACCTCCAGCTGGCTGTCAAGATCCTCCTTGACCTGCTCGCTGATGGCCGGCAGTAGGTTGCCGAACTGTGTCCCAGGGTCCATCTCCTGGAAAACCGATCCTCAATAAAACTTTCTCTCAAAGCCATGTAATAAACAAATCCGCCTATCCCCCCATATCCCCCCCCCCTCCTCCCACCGCTTTTAGCTCCTTCAGGGTCTGGTTGACGGCGCCGACGGCGTCGGCCAGGACTGGCTGCAGAGAGCTCATGTCGGTCAACGACAAGCGGCCGGCAGCTTGCCTAAGTTGAGAGCAACAAGCGAACTGTGCCCTGGCGCTGGCAGTGCTGGCAAGTCACAGCACACCAAGGGGAGAGAAATGAACTTTCGGAACTTTAAGAAGGATCTGCTTCCTTGTCATGCACTACCCCATCTCCAACTGTATAAATAGCAACATTTCGGGGTACTCGACCGCTCCAAGCACTGTCACGTACAGCATGTTTGGCGACGACACGGAATGCTGTACGTAGCAGTCAGGGTTCTTACATGTTCGCGGTATGAACGTTGAATGGATGCAATGACCCGTCGACCTGCCGCCCACCCGAAACCCTGAACGGTGCTTGTGCAGACCGGCTTGCAGCTCCCCAAATGAAAAGTTGCTGACTTTTTTTCACTTTGGTCGCCGAGCTGCTTGACCTGCGCCTCGACCTTCTCCCGCAGCTGCTGGCCGGTTGATTTCCAGAGCTTCTGGACCTCAATCGACGTAGTGGCCGTAATGGTGCGAAGGATCATGGTGCCGCGGGATTTCACGGGATCCGGAAGCGTGCTTAACTTCTCCTGCAAGAAGGCGGAGAATTGCACCTCTACGTCGGCTACGAAGTCGCTGCCATCACCTCCCGGAAGCAGTCGCGAAGACACCTGTGAAAGCAAGACGTCGATCAAGGAATCGGAAGGCGAACTGGCATCCTCGGCTTTGAGGGCCCCAACTGCTAGCTCTTCAATGCTCAGGTTTGAAACATTTGCTTTGCGACTGCTTTGCGACCTCTGCCATGGAATCTCGCTTAAAGAGGAACCACACGCCAAGCCTCTGCCCCCATGACCGACTTCAAAGGAGCCATGAACGTGTCGATGTTCAACATGTCTTCGAACTTGTCCCGCATGGACGCCTGCGCCGCATCCTGCAGATCCTCGACAATTTCCCCGAGCTTCTCCTTCAAAACGGGGGAGGCTGTCTCCCCACGTGTCGTTCCAAGGGGGCTGTGTCCCCCCACGTGTGTGTGAGAGTAGATTTTTCAAAGAAGAATGAGAAAAACAGCGCGCCTGGACCAGCTTCGAGCCTTTGTCCTCCATGAGATCCCAGAAGGCCTTCAGAGACCCGGCGGGCAAACCGGGCAAACCCGATTTCCCGCTCTTGCCGCCTTTGCCGCGGGGCCGCGTCGCAGGCATCGTCATGTTGCCTGAAACGTGGACTTCAAGCAACGCGACTTGGGAAGCTCCTTCCTGGCAGCGGCTGAAATATTTAAAGGAAAAGGGCCATGAAGAAAGCATGACAAACAAGAAGAGCTCTGAAGACCGTGAGCTCGATGCACTGCCCCCCCCCCCCCCCGGCTTCCCCCTGAATTCGCTTCTCCTTGGGCTTGTACTTCTCCAGGTCTCGGCAGGTCGACGGATCTCCGCGATCTTCAGGTCGGATGCTGGGGTTAAAGGCGGCTTCGTGGTCGCAGTTGTTCCGCTGAGATGGGTCGAACTCGCAGTACCCCATCTCCGACGTGGTGAAGCACTTCGGGCAGGCCTCTCTTGGCACAAGCCCCTCTTTGCACTCATGCCTCACTTCCCTCTCCCTTGTTTGCTGCCCTCTCCTCCACACAACTGATGAGCCCCGAGACCGGGCTTCTTTGGAAGGGATCGCCTCTTTCCCTCTCCCTCCCTCTCCCTCTCCCTCCCTCTCCTTCTCCCTCCCTCTCCCTCCCCCCTCCCTCCTTCTTTTCTTTGTAGTTGGGGTTGCGGGGTGGGGGGGCGGGGGGGGGGCGGGGGGGTGAGGGGGGCGGGGGAGGGGGCGGGTTGGGGGGGCGGGGGGTGGGGGGGGGGCGGGGGGGTGCAGTCCTTGACGCAGCTGGAGGTCCCGGCCGTGTCGATGAACAAGAACTCGTCCAAGGGGCACAGCATGCAGTCACCGGGCTCGGGGCCGGTGCAGGCATCACAGCCTGCGCAAGGGTTGCATGCACCCCCCACTTTGTTGTCGGTCTCATCCACGTCAATTCGCCACAGGTAGTAGCCTTCCGGACACTGAGGACCAGTTCCGGAGCCTTTCTCCGCCCATTCGATGATCGTCTCTTCATTGAACTCCGCCTCCTCCTCCAAGGGAACGTTCGGGCTCTTCTTCCCCAGCGCCTTCAACTCCTCCTCCAGCGACCCGCGGCTGCCCTTGGCCAAGAGGTCCAACAGAGCCCCATACGCCGAGGGCGGCGGAGCAGAACTCAGCAAAGGCCGCGAGGGCGCAGAAGGCGCCGAAGGCGCAGAAGGCTGCAAAGCTGAAGATAGGGCCAAGAGCTTGGGTTTGCTTGCCTTGCCCGTCTTGGAGACGTTTCGCAGCTTGAGGAGCGCGCTGCCCGGAATCTGGCACATGCCGCTGTCCGGGCACTGGGGCTGCACACAGTAGCGGTCTTCGTGCAGCTTCAGTTGGCGCCCTTGGCAACTGCTGCGCAGCAGTGCCTGCCGCTTGCGTCGCTGCTGACCTATGCCGCACGTGACTGAGCAGGTACCCCAGGCCTGCCAATCTGAGAGCACACAGTCATTTGAAGGTGTAGGCCTCCGCCATGTGCACGCAGCTTGCTCCATGCAAGGGACCATGTCGTGGTAGCTGGAAAGACCTTTCTTGCTGGCCTTGGACACCCAAGACGAAGGTACGATCTGGCGGCTGGTAGCCCAAGAAGAGAGCACCCAAGCTCTGGGCACTGTGTCTTCCGTAGCCGCTCCAAAGGAAACATTCACCGTCTTATCTGTCGCTGCTTTGACCACCGCTGGGCGTGGGCTCTTGCTGCGTCCAGCTCCACGTCTGAAGTAGGCCATGACTGCTGACCCCACTTTCAGATCTTCTGCTTCTGAACTGGCCAGCTTCAGCTCCACGACGTTGCCGATGGCCTCCAAGCGCCCCCAAGGAGTCTTGGACGAAATCTGACTCTGCTTTGTGACAACTCGGACAGGCTCTGAAGCTTTCCGCGCCTGGATGACGGTGGCGTTGGTCAGCACCTTGCTCTTCTGCTTGCGATTAAAACCGTCTTTCAACCAGAAGTGCGTCTGGACCTGTCGCCCTGGCAGAAAGGGGCGAAATTCAAACACAGCCGGATGGAAATGAGGCCAGGCCTTGTGGAAGTGGAAGATTCTTTTGCAGGCAGCAACTGTCACAGGTGGCTCCCTGACAGCTGACAGGGCTGGGGCTGAAAAGTCGAAACTGAAGTTGAATCGAAACCCCCTCCCAAACCTTCCCCACTCAAGGCCAAGCCGCTGCATTCATAATGAGACCTGCCTTGACGCCCCCTGAGAGTGACGACGACACCCTCGAGGTGCGCAAGGTCAGGGCATTTGCTTCATAGTTGGAGCGCAGCTTCTTGGCACAAGGCCGCAGAACTGCAATGGAAGAGAGCAGCACCCAAAGGTGCCACATTGGCCCGCCAAAGGCCAGCTTCATTTTGCTTTGGAGTGAAATTTTGAAAACCTACACGGCCAAGCCTGGACAGGACTTGAGCTTGAGCCACGGCGAGTAAGGGACCTCTTCAAGGATGTGCGAAGAACCACAGAAACACATGCTAGCACTTCGTGGTCGTTTGCTTGTCCTGGAGAAGCTC